CTCTCTCTTTTTTTTTCTCTCTACAACTACTACTATCTACGACTACTTTCGCATGCATAATTCATAAGTTAGCGCGCTTCTCTCTCTTTCTCTATATATATAGTTACGCACTTGCTCTTGGGACCTTACGCGCACCGCCACCACCAGCGTACGTATACCATACATATATACTTACACCCTTGCGCCGCGAATATTTGTACCCAGGCGCGTATATCATACGTGCATACGGCAGAGCGGCAACGGCTGTGGGGCAAACATCTTTTTTTTTTTTTTCTAGCCCAGCGGAGCGCATAAACGAATGCAAATGAATCGTTCATAATGAAGTGGCCGTCTCGCAGTTCTCTCTCTCTCTCTCTTTCTCTCTCTCGTACCCTCCGCAAAGCGTTGCATACATACTCGTATTATATACCGAGTGTATAAACGCGGAATAATAATAATAATAATAACGAATACCTACATGTGAGTGTGTAACGGCGTGCGAGCCGTTATTATTACATAAATTAAGATGTATGTATACGCGACCACCACCACCTGTAAATGTGTTGCACGACGGCCGATGCAGTTCTACGCTGTGTACGATTGTTTGCGTATGCGCGCGCGCGCGCGCGCGTAATCGCGTATATGACGCCGACGGTCGGCGCGCAGTTCGCGCGCTCTCAATTTCGCACGAGAGAGAGAGCTGCAGATTCGCAACAACAACAAAAAAAGTGCCATGTATACATAATGATAGCCTAGGCACTCGTGCATTTGGGATACACATACATATACCGTGTGTGTGCGTTCAACCAAGCTCGAGGCTGCTGCTGCTGCTGCTGCTGCGTGCTTATCTCGCAATACGACCGCGTGTATACATAATTATTATATTCGCCGCGAGGCGTTTATGCGCGCGCGCGCGTTTACCTGGAAAAACGCGCCGAGGCTAATTGCATTTCGAAATGGGCCAACTGGCTCTTCTCTTTCTCGAGCTCTTTTTATTTTCGTCCTCCCCCGCCAGCTTTTTTTACGCTTCTCTTTTTTTCGTTATCAAGCTTATCGCTAAACGCTTTCTGCTCTCGCTCTCGGCCGCTCGTGACCAACCACCACCACCACCAACGCCACAACGCCGAGGGTAATACGAGATTTTAATTTTTTTTTTTTTCTTTTTGTTTGCGCCACGCCGCGCAATTATAATACCGCAAAATTTTTCACGTACGCGCGCGCGTTATTCCGAGTTTATTACGTACGTTTATATATGAGGTTTGAGTTCTTTCGAGCTATAATAACAATAATGATAAAAGCAATGAAAAAAAAAAGATTTTATTTATCTGTCAAACATCGCGAGTACGTATGTACGTTATTATAATGATACCGAGATTAATTGGAAATTAAACTCGGCCCGCCGCCCGCCGCGCCTTGTTTGCATAAATATAATACTAATGCGTGCATCGATGACGATGCGTGTGTGCTCGACCATCCACGCGCGTACGCGCACTTTATATTCGTGCAATATTATCGTGATTTTTGTATATCGTACGCATCCATCGGGTTACGTCAAAGTATAATTAATTATTGTTAACGGTGCATAATGCAGGAGAGAGAGAGAGACGCGGAATGACCTCGGGAATACTGCTCACGCACACACCCACCACCGTACGTATGTATGTAAATTTACAACGGCAACGAAAGCTCGACGCGCGTGTGATCGTCTGTATTTAATGCAAATTAATTACGGCTTTGAATATTTATCCGCGAATATGTACGTTCGATCGTGGAAAACGCTCTACATAAATGCAGTTAAATAATTTCAATCGAAGAAAAAAGTAAAAAAGAAAATAAAGAAAAAAGGGATGGACTTACGTAAAGATATACAACTTGCAAAATTCGTTCGCGGTAAAATAGGGATCGAGTTTATGTATCGATGCTTATCTTAATCAGTTACATGTATTACATCGCGCAAGAGTATGCGTGTAATACAATGTTTGCGCGCGTGCCAGTTTTGCGCCAAAAATAAAGAAAGAGAGTGAGTGAGATAGAGAGATAGCGAGGAAATGAAAGAAAATTTCACATACCAGAGAGCTCGCGCAGCTTTTTCCTTATATTCTCTTTAATCGCGATGAATCTCTCGGCTCCGACTCGTATACGACGAAAATTCGAGCTTGCAGCGCGAGAGAGAGAGAGAGAGAGAGAGAGAGAGAGAGATAGATAGATACGAGAAATGGCAATGCACGCGTGGAGACACACAGACGCAGCGTGGGCGTCTCATTGTCTTTAGGATCTATCTGATATCGAATCGCATTCATATATAAAACGAAATAAAACCATTAAGCTTTCTTTCCTCTCCCTGCGTCTCTCTTGTTGATGTATACAGCTTCGATTGTCCATAGCTTCTCGTTTTCTTCGCTTCTGCGTCCAAGCGCACACGCACGCGACCGAAAAAACGACGCAGTCTCGGCCAGCAAAAGAGTCATCGAACGCGTCCGTGGTAGAGAGAGAGAGAGATATGGCTCGATAACGACGGAGAACGAAGACGAAAACGAGGTGAGACTCGAGGATGTAAGGAGCTTTTAGTCGGCGAACGAACGAGAATAAGAAGAAGAAGAAGAAGAAGAAGAAGAAGAAGACACAAAAAAAATTACCGTAAAATCGCTCCCGTGTTTCGAGCACGGGGACAAAATTAAATGGCTGTATATGTATATCGAGGGCGAGTTAAGAGTACAAAAAAAAAAGAAAAGAGAGTGAGAAGGTCTAGCCGTTATATATTATCTCCGTCTCTCTCTCTCTCTTTCGCCCCAGGGTGTCGCCCGTACATCCAACACAGCTAGTATAGCTCACAGGTCCGCATGCACGCGGCCATCTGTCTCGGGCGTCGAGCTCCACTCTCTCTCTCTCTCTTCTTCCCCATTCTTAATTAGGACTGTACAGTGTCTCCGGCTTTACTCGCTCTCACCCCCCACCCCCGACAGTTGCTATGCGCGCGGCACACAGGTTATAGGTGGCGGCGAATCTAATGTATAACGCCTAATACAAACGGGCTTGCCTAGCGTATAATAAAAGGAGAGACACATTGCCCCAGGGACGAATCGAGAGTGAGCTTTTGTCGGCTTTTTTCATCCTCTCTTTTTTTATTTTATCGACGTTGAATTAGTCAAGCTCTCGAACCAGACTCATCGAATGGCAATTGTTGCAATATTACATACCGCATTGTTTCATACGTAACTTTCGCGGATAATTCGATGGGCATTATGTGTGTGTGTGTGTGTGTGTGTGTGCTTATATTATGTAGTTGTCAGCGACCGGCTAGCCCGCTACAAAGTTCGCGCCGAGTTTCCGCGCTTAATGGCGATGATATTGTGCCCTTTCAATTTTACACTCTATAGACAAGAAGCTTACACGCGCGTACACGTGTGCGAGCAATAACTTTTGACATTACCACCGGAACGCCGAGCAGCAGCTTCATCGTATACGTATAGAGCGAGTTAACTTTTCAAATAATCGTCGAATGAAAAGTGAGAGAGAGAGAAGAAAAAAAAAAGCGAAGCACCTCGCGCGGATTCTTTTTTTTTTTTTTATTATTTATTACTTCTTTATCGATGGAATGAGGGTAGGGCAGAAAAAAAAAAGATTCGAAGAGAGAAATCGCCCATTACCATCCACGCACGTAGCAGCAGCCACCGAGTATGGAGAGGGTACTCGAACGAGGATTTATGAGGTGTGAAAAGTTGTCCACAAGTGGCGTTCGTGTTGGAGCGGCTCGACGTCACGCCGCGTCCGACGAAGTACTTGTCGTCGTTTCAGCACCTCTCGTATATATAGGTATACATACACCTGTTCCCGTACACATCGAAAGCTCGGCTCTTTTGTCGCGAGCACGCGGCCGCTCGGTCAGGTATGCGCGCGGCCATACACAGCGTGCGGACGCACCTTTTTCTTTTTTTTTTACTCCTTTCGGCTATTTTCTTCCTCTTCTTTTTTTATCGCGATAATTGTTGCACGGGACTTTACCGGGGGGTTATCGCGTCTTTGGAAATTTATCAAAAGAAAAAAGAAGGAGAATAAAAGCGCGTGTCGAGAGGGATAAAAAAACAACTAAAAATAAATAAAAACTCGAGCAGCGCTTGAAAAAAATATCCTGTATTGATTTTTATCATTCAGCGGACAACGAATCGCGTTGTGGCGCCGGCACACGGGCGATAATAATTAAATTTTTTAATTGAAACTCAATTTTTGTCTACCATATATACGCACATGTTTGAATTGTACTGTATATAACTGCTGCTGCTGCGGCTGCCTTGTGTACACGCGTACACCGAGAGCCGATTTTAACTCGTAATTTTGCAACTATACGCAACAACACACACACACACACACTGACACAAGCGCCGCGCAACAGTTTCAAGCTCGACTGAACCTCATATCGCGCGCGAGCTGCAATCTATTTGCTCTATTCCTTCTGTATGTATATGTATATAAACCGACATCTGTATATAAACGGGTGCATCTATATATTGACTCGGTGCATGCGTTTATGTGCAGCCACTGACCGCGTGCGTGGCCACACGACTCCACCACCATCGCTGCTGCTGCCGCCGTCGCGTTCCAATAAACTCAGCCTCCGCACACGCGTAATTTCGCAGGCTAAATTAATCAATTCCTCGATCGTTTAACGCGTAATATACGTGCGTTTGTGTAGCGCATCTCGAATTAAATATATAGCGCGAATCTTGTGAATCAGTCGTATTTAATATAATGTGACCACAGCAAAAATTATTTGCGTTGATCAAACTCGTGTATTGAAATGAAACTGGTTTTTCTATCTGAAATTTTCAATCAATTAGCTTATTCATTGTATTATATTATATGCGTCGGGTTTTACACTTTAAAAAGTTTAATCCAATGGATAAAAATCGGATGAAAATAAAAAGGGTCGAGAAAGAAAGTGTACAGGTAGTATTAAGTATAAAACATTAGTTTATTATTTCCATTGATTGGCGATGTAAAATTTATAATAAATATTCGTATAAAAAATATTGATAATTTGATAAATTAGCCCAAAGCGCAACGACCTCTGTTGGATTGCAAAAAGTGTTTCTGTAACGAAGAAAGAAGGAAAAAAAATTATTCGATTGAATATCGATTGATTGAAAGAGCGAAAAACGATGGAAAATATACTCACGGCGCAGTTGACGAGGGCCTTAGGATGTTTCCAATGCTGTTTGCAGCTTTGAGCGGCCTCCTTGAGGCAATGGGTCGCCGCCCATCTGAAGGCGCCGGCCAAGACTCTCACGGCGATGGCCAGGGCTGGATTCCTAGATTCGACCTCGTCCAACTCGCTCAGGTCGATCTCCAACGAATTTTCCTGCTGCTCGTCGTCGATCACTGGCTGTGCAGAGATGGTCAGAGCGACGAGAGCCAACACTCCGAAGAATACCAAAAATGATCGAGAAAACATGATGATTGTTTACTGGAATGGATTTGCTGCTGTTACTCTTTGATAATTGCTCTACAACTGCTGATTGTTGCAAGTTGGCGACTGTGGATTGACACTCGGTCGAGCTTCCTTATATATCTCTCGTTTTAGACTGATTTTTCATGATTCTAGGGACTACTCAATTTCTTCTACGTAAAACTGCTTATTCACGGCTAATTTAACATATGATGAACCAACTTTCCTCGTTTGATAATACAGATTTTGCAAATCTTATCGCTTGTAATCCGGTTTCGAGTGAATAACATCTGTAAACAAACGCACCACAGTATCAAGAAGCATGGAAATATTGAATAAGTTACACTGAGATTAACTGAAATTAAGGAGGGAGTAGGGTCTGTCCGATAGTTTTCGAGTATCATTTTCAAGCTTTTTTGAACACATAGTAAAATGGATTTATTTATAAATTATGTATATTATAAGTAATAATTTGAAGAACATTCAGATAAATTTTCAGCTCAAAATAGTGAAAAATGAACTAACTATAGCAAATTTTCTTGCACAACTAAAAAAAAGATCGATTGTGGTAAAAACTGTAACTGAAAATCTACTAGACGGTTTCTTTTAAAATTTTTCCTTCTATTAGAATACATAGATATATTTTATAAAAATGATTTTTGAGTTTTTGGTATTGTTTTAAAGTAAAGAAAAAATGGCTTTTTTGAAAAAATGAAGGTAAAAAGTCATTGCATATGTTTGTGACAAGCATTTAAAAATGGAAAACGTTAAACTATCTCGACGTCATAACCTTATGTATTATTTACTTAAATTGTGTATAATATATGAAGTGCTCATCGGTTAAGTAGATTTTGAGTGACGATGTCTACCGAATTTTTTTACAATGCGTGTGAAAATTTGCTGTAGCTAGCTTATTTTTCCTTAGTTTGGACTGAAAATTTACTGAATATTCTTCTAATAACAATTAATAATGTGTATGATTGGATAGATCTATTCGATTTACTATATCTACAAAAAAAATTTTTTTTTTGTGGAAATTTTTTATGAAAAGCTTTAAAAAGATAAATGAATAGTTAGTGTTATTAATAATAGGTGAGGTTGATTTTAATCTTTGATGGAAAATTGTGTTTAAGAGACGAAAACAATTTCATATACATAAAAACTGCAAATAGTTCTCATAAAGTAAATAATCAACTATAATTAGTCTAGAATAATGGTATTAATTGAGTAATAATAATTTGGGAAATGACAAGCTTATTTCGATTAATGAAATCGTCATAACTTGACATTGTATGCTAAGAATATTTGCGCATCTTTGAATGAAAAAGTAATCAATTAATGTTTGCGTTTTTGAATACATAAAGTGAAAATCATTCACGCAGAAAGATTATTGATAATTCACAGAATTTAAATATTTGAATGCACCTTGATTTATTCCAGATATGAAAAAATTTGAAGCAAGCGTTTGCGGAAACTTCGGTATTACACAACTGCTAATAAAGAAAAGATAAACATTGTACAGAGAATTTGTTCAAAAATTAAAATGTAAATAAATTAAGAAAGTTTGCGTGCGACTTTAATATTATCATTTTTACCGGAATAGAACGGGAGTCTTTTTTTAGTTATTTTGTAAATATTTAAAAAAATTATTTTCACTGCAGATTTATTGTAATAGTGAAAAATAATGCATAAACTTTATTAGTTTAGTTTATTTTAGGCAATACCCAAAAATATCTATTAACAGCTGCTTTATGCCGGAATCAACATTTGCAATGACTTGAAATGTTAAATTAGCCGTGAATAAGCAGTTTTACGTAGAAGAAATTGAGTAGTCCCTAGAATCATGAAAAATCAGTCTAAAATGAGAGATATATAAGGAAGCTCGACCGAGTGCCAATCCACAGTCGCCAACTTGCAACAATCAGCAGTTGTAGAGCAATTATCAAAGAGTAACAGCAGCAGATCCATCCCAGTAAACAATCATCATGTTTTCTCGATCATTTTTGGTATTCTTCGGAGTGTTGGCTCTCGTCGCTCTGACCATCTCTGCACAGCCAGTGATGGACGACGAGCAGCAGGAAAATTCGTTGGAGATCGACCTGAGCGAGTTGGACGAGGTCGAATCTAGGAATCCAGCCCTGGCCATCGCCGTGAGAGTCTTGGCCGGCGCCTTCAGATGGGCGGCGACCCATTGCCTCAAGGAGGCCGCTCAAAGCTGCAAACAGCATTGGAAACATCCTAAGGCCCTCGTCAACTGCGCCGTGAGTATATTTTCCATCGTTTTTCGCTCTTTCAATCAATCGATATTCAATCGAATAATTTTTTTCCTTCTTTCTTCGTTACAGAAACACTTTTTGCAATCCAACAGAGGTCGTTGCGCTTTGGGCTAATTGATCAAATTATCAATATTTTTTATACGAATATTTATTATAAATTTTACAATGCCAATCAATGGAATAATAAACTAATGTTTTATACTTAACACTGACTGTACACTTTTTGGTTCCCCTCTTTTTTATCTTTCATCAATTCTACTCTTTAACCGACGGTCATTCATTGACTATCACTTTTCCTAAAGCCTCTTATTCGCAAGATTGATTTCGAAGCCCATCACATAATATTCTCAAGAATGAAGCTGAATCACCAAGCGAATTGGTTAACATGGTAAGAAAAAAAAAATTGAAAGCTACATGCTATATTTAGGGAACGACGCGTCGTGCGCGCCAGCAAGGAGCTTCGGGCCACGCCGATCGCCAAGTCCGCGGGGAATACGCGTAAAGAACGACAACAGTTGCGTGCACAGGCGATCGTGTGCATTTACACATACGTACATTACGGTACGTGCTCGACTCGTTGTAATTTTTTTGCGAATTTCTAGTCGCTGAAAATCCGGGGCTTGCGTCGTACACGAGTGTATATAGCGTATAAGGTGCGGAGCTACCCCCTCGACGAATTTAACCAACTATAACACGCCAGTATCACCCTTTATTTCATCCTGTCTCGATGCGTATAGACGTAGTCCGCCGGAGGCCTTTCGGTAAAGATGCCTTACAGTAACTACACGCGCCATATGTGCATTGTACTTTCAGCCCTCGACTGCTCCCGCTGCTATTTCTTTCTGTACTTTTTTCCTTCTTTTTCTCCAAGTATCGGGAAAATCTTGTGTGTGTCTGTGGGTGTGTGTCCCAAGGACACGTGGAAACATTATTGGCGTTTGTACAGTAGCTTGTACCGGCAGCTACTATATAGGTTTTACCAGCTTTGCGCTTGCCACACGATGCGCCACGACGATGTATATATACAATATACACAACGCGACATGCAACACGAGCTCGGGCTCCAATATTACCATAATCGCCGAAACGATCGTCGCTTATACCTCCGAAACCCAGCCGCTTATACATCGCTGTATATACGTATCGTATAGATGTAAATAATTTAATCCCATATATATTCGGGTCACGCGGGGGTGGCCCGGGTAGTTTTATACCATGTACACACGAAACAAAAGAAAACCGCGCGAACGAAATAATGCGATCGAGGAGACTTGGCCCTCCCCCGCGCGAGCACGTGTATTACATACCTATATACGCGCATCTGGACAATTAAGCATCGGTGCGCGCGCCTGTATAACAAGGCAGCGGCAGCAGCATAACCCCCTGTACAGCAAGACAGAGAGAGAGAGAGAGAGAGAGTAGATGATAAATCACTCGATGTATAATGCACGTTGCAATACACCGCCTCGACATCTATTCGACCCTCCGCTTTGGAATATTATTCGCGCGCATAGCTCGACGCACACATATACACAAACACAGCAGAGACTACAACAAAGTGTCCTCTGTATGTGTGTGTATATGTAAACGCACACAAATACACACACATAGAGACGCATTGCTCCACAACTGACGATATAATTTATCGAGGCGTACTGCTGCTGCTGCTGCTGTTGCTTCTGTTTCGTCGCGAGTTTATCCCCTTGATTTGTCGGTATGCCGCCTATTGCCCTATACGTTGTCGTCGTCGTCTCTGTAAAGGAGGCATCCTGTATATATAAATAAGAAAGTAAAACGAGTGGTGGTGGCAGCAGGTGCTTTTCTTTGATTTTTTCAAGGACGTCGCGACTCAAAGGAAGAGAGGCTACTGCTGCTGCTGCTGCTGCTGCTGCATATTGCGGAATCGGACGAGCTTAATAAAATGAAAAATTCGCCCAATATTGCCAATATACACGTAGTACTACAACCGCACCCAAAAAAAGGGCTCGAGGGTCGTGTCGCTGAGTACGTATATGTACGCTTATGTGTGTGTCACATCCTCGTCTCGCACCATGCGATATGTACACGTACGTACACAGCCACCCTCTCTCGCTCTCTTCCACCCCATGGGGATTTAACGCTTCATGCATTTTACATCCAAGAGAGAGAGAGAGAGAGAGAACTGCCGCGTCGAGCGAGCTTTGATTCCCCTCCTATAACCCGACTGTACAGCGTAAAATGTATATATGCCGAAGCTCGATGCAGAGCGACGGTTTCTAACGATATACGTATAAAATACGAACGTACGGTATACACACATACCGTTGCAAGTGATCAGTGACTTGGATCTTTTTTTTTTCGATCTTATATGCTATATGTATCGCGGGGATTAATCTTTGATCGGGTCTACTCATTGCCCTTCGATGAATTTCGATGGGAATTATCGGGGAGAGCCGTCGCTCGTATACGTTTGCGCTGCGGCTAAGGCGCAGCATCAAAGATCTTTGTACATAATGCGGCGCTGCTCTGCTGATGGCTGATGATCGCGTCCTTGGTATGTATATACTGGATACGATTTATAGGATTCTTGGCCTCGAAGTCGCGGAGACGCATCTATGTGTAGGAGCTGTAAAAGTCCCCCCCATGGGAGCCGTTGATTCGAGACGTTTCAGCGCGGCTGGTATAGTACGTGTATAATACGCTTTTTGGCATCGGAGCCTATGGGCAAAAATTACCCTCTCAAAAGGCCGTGATGTGACTGAAAGTTATTCGATTAAACGCGACGATGCATGGGTTGTGCACGCGGGGGGGACGAGTCGAGACGCGTACACCCTAAAACTTCTTTTTTTTTTCTCGTAAATATTGATACTTTTTGACGCAGTTTATAGTTTCATTCGCATCTCTCGTGTATTGTTTCTTGAAATAATAGGTGAGCCAGAGCATCCGAGAAATCGACACTTCATGAGATGCGATTAACAATTTAAATGAAAGAATAGAATCCTTGACGGATGACAGAATAGAGTTCTTGGTAAAAAAATTATATGTCTGCTATATTATAATACATACTTTGTTATAACTTCCATATAATTCCCGGTCTTTGTTACTTTGTGTGAGGATTTGTTAGAAATTAGGATGAAGCCATCTATCGGTCGGTTGCGGCACTTTCCGCACGTATTGGTCAAAATGAATTGAGTTCTCAGAGGGACTCATAACGCTGAAAATATATTAACTTATTTTCGTTCCTTATTACTATTTCCATCTTTTATTTTCAAAACTTCTTTTAAAATCTCGTTATTGGCGAGCATGAAAATCAAATTTATTTGGTCAAATTTAGCTCGTTGCAATCGAGCTCCTGTTATATCGTCTCGTTATGACAGGAACTGAAAATTCCCTCGTACGCTTTGCATAAAATCCAAGCAAATAGTTACGATTCGCTCGTTGTAATCGAGCTCTTGTTAAATACAAGCTCATTGCGGAAAACCTTTTGCTGACCCTATAAGGAAGTAGACAAAAGATGTATGAATTCAGTTAGAAAATCTAGAATTTCCAAAAAATTTTGAAGACTAAACGAAGTTCTCAGGTTTTATTAATCTCTGAAGTAACCCTTATACCATTGATCACTCTTAAATTTTTCATAATCCATGAATACATCCACAACTACATATTTCTATGAATTTTCACTCTTACAATGCTGCTCTATATTATATCTGCACTTGACGCGGTGCAACACACCAATGAAAATACCAATCAATTTCCGTACACAGCATCTTATCCGAATAAAATATAATTATTCCATACACTAAAAGACGCGCGGCTGAACTCCAATACAGCTAATGTAATCGCTCAGGCAAGAACCACTCAGTGATCATCGTCGAATTGAAAATTCATTTCGTATATCGTTTCGGCGCAGGTGTGATGTATTAATAGACAAAAGCAAACGTATCGTAGCTCGTCGCCTCGCGAACGAATCGTATACATGTATAATAAAGTGAAGCAGCAGCACACAGCCTCTCAAAGTACATACGGTATACTAGCGGGTACAGGAGCGGGCGTAAGTATATCGTATACACAGATATACATACAGTGCATATAGATATAGCATAGATATTTGTACGTGTGCGCGTGCGAAATCCGTTTGCCCGTCTGCGGCGACAAACTTCTGAAATATTGATGCTCTTCTCGCGCGCCAAGCACGACGACGACGACGACGACGACGCGAAAGTTGTAAGAAGTAGAAGTAGTAGTAGCAGCAGCAGTAGGGAAAAGACGTCGTCTCTAACGCGCTTTTCACGATCCTCTAGCTGAGACTGACGTGCTCGAAATGCCTCGGTGTGTGTGTGTGAGTGTACGTGGTAGATATGTATGTATATGTACGCCTCCGCGTCGCGGGAAAACTTTTCGATAATATCGCCGCAGCAGCGAAGAGAGATGCGCCCCGCGCTTTATATACGTGTATATAGCTGCTGCTGCTGCTGCTGCTGCTGCCGGGTATATGCCGCCGTTGCCTCATGATGCCGCGAGCTAGTCGCGCAGCGGCCCTCGGATTTTGCTTTTGTGTATGGAAATGTCATAATCGATACCGCTCGAGAGGAAGACTCCCGAGTGATACAGCGGCTCACGGGAAATTGATAATATACGCGAAATTCGTTCTTTAATGTATATACAGGCAGATTGTGAAGCAGCCAAAGATGAGTGCAATTAAAGAGCTGCCTCCGAAGAAACAATCGAGTAACGATAAAGAAAGAAGCGGCACTGGGAAGCTTAATGGCAAAGCAGCTCTCTGTATACTTGTATCGTATCGCGTGATTTTGCTCGCAAAGAGAGAGCTGGATAAAAGCTTGACTTTAGGCCTCGTGTTATTTACCCGAAGAAAATCTCGGAAATTTCACTCCGAGTGAGTGTGTGCGTACGTATACGAAAAGAGAGAGAGAGAGAGGGAGTCAGTGAGCGAGGAGAAGAAAAAAGTGAGTATAAGCTCGAGGAGTCGAGATCTAGCTCGGCGCACTTATAAGGATTTCACGAGTTTACCTATCTTCGACTCGATGCTGCTGCTGCTACCTTTTTTTTCCCTCTCGCTCTCGAGACTCTTTTGCGCCTACTTCATCCACACCCTCGACCACCGGCACACACACACGCACACCACGAGGCACTTCAAAATAGCTGGTGGATCACGATCGTGCGATAACCCACTGCTCCAACCAAATCTTTCGAGGAAAACAGATTACGTGCGCGGACAAGCGCGCGCGAACTCGAGCCTGCAACGTATAATATTGTTTCTCACTTGCAGCCATGCATTTTTGATGCGTGCCACTTTTTTATACGCGTAAGGAAGAGGAGTGAGTCCGCGAAAGAAGAGCGAGGGCAATGATTGAAAATTGAAAATCAATTCTAAAGCAGCTGTAAAAAAGAGCAGCTACAAGAAAGACTTTAAATCCAAGAAAATTTAAATCTAAGCCAATTCGTTAATTAAATTTAATAAAATATCGAAAATACAAAGAAAAAAAAGCAAATGGATGAAATTTCAGAAAAATAATGTAGTCAAAAAAATTTTCTAAAGAGAATTTCATTGAAGTTTCAATTGACTTTGTTTATGTATTAGAATTAAAATGTTTTTAGGTATAGTTTCTGTTGATATTCTGGCATTTTCGAGATCGGACTCTATATTTATTATTCTTAGACGCGAGGTTTCTTTAATAATATCAACAACTTCGCTTCGTTGTGTTTATAAATTTTCAAAGCATGATTCGTAATTATTATTAAATTCGATTTTAGTGAGTATGAAATTACTACAGTACAATTAGTCGTAAACTAAACTCTTAGAGAATAAGATGGAATTTAACGGTTTATTCAACGGTGCCATCAGGTAATAATTAACTGAAAAACAGATAAAAATATTATGCCATAATTTTAACTGAATAATTTTAGAATAAAGGAAGAACCTATTGAGGTGTCGCTCACAGAAAATAATGATTATGAAACGATTGACAAGGAACCCAATAGCAAAAATGTTCAGTCCTCCAGATTTCGAGATAATTCTGTAAGATTTAATATTTTAATGTGATTGGTATTTCATTTATTTATCATGAAACTTTACGCACAAATGATTTTTCTACAGACCTGTAAGCTTCAAGAACGGGACAGATATTATGAATCTGAATTGAATGATCTGGAAATTGAATTCGAGTGTAGAGACGAAAAGCCTCACATAAACTTATTAGTAGTAAAGGACGATTATTCTCAAAATTATTTGCAAAACATGAAAAATAGTGATAATCATATGACTCAAAACATCATTAAAACAGAAGCCGTGGTTGTAAAAAAAGAATTTTCCAACAACGATTATCAAAAATTGAAAAAATTTGTTGACGACGGATTCAGCAAACCAAACAGCACGAAAAAGAAAATTGATTTGGCCCACAACAGTGTTACACATTCGTGTAATGTATGTGGAAAAACGTTTAGATATAAGGGAAGTATGAAAAAGCACATAGATACAATTCATAAAGGTATTAACTACGCTTGTGATGTATGTGGATCAAAATTCAAAAGTAAAAGTTATCTTAAAATCCACATCAATGCGATGCATAATGGTAATATCTACGCATGCGATACGTGCGGCAAGAATTATGTAACGAAGGGTAATCTCCAACATCACATTGATTCAATGCACAATGGCATCACATTTGCATGTGAAATATGTGGAACGACTTTCTCAACTAAAGGAAATCTCCAAATTCATATCAAAATGAAGCATAAAGGCATCACCCACACATGTGACAAATGCGGGAAAAAATTTGCAAAAAAACAGGATCTAAAAATCCACATTGATGCGGTGCATAATGGTATCAAACTTACATGTGAATTATGTGTAAAAACGTTCTCAAATAAAGGGAATCTCCAATTTCACATCAAGTCGAAGCATAAAGGTATCACCCCCCACGTATGTGACAAATGCGGGAAAAAATTTACACAAAAGTGTCGCCTCAAAAGTCACATTGATGTCGTGCATAATGGTATCAAACTGAAATGTGAAGTATGTGGAAAGCAATTCACACGAAAACATAATTTAAGAGCCCACATGCGTAATATGCATGTAATATGCAGTCGGTAAAATGCGACAACAGAACGGCAATCTGAAAGCTCATAACGATGCAGTTTACAGTGGTACCAGTTACGAACGTCTTAAAGATACGCAGTTGGAAAAGCAAATCGCAAATAGAATGTAGACGAAGGGCACGAGAATTTTCCATCATCAAGTATCAAGTATATCAACAAATTGATCAATCGAGGTAGTAAAAACTGTAGTACTAAAAACTGTAAAAATTCATGCTGCGAATCAATATTTGTAATAAACTCAGCTCATAAGCTTTTTTAATTGTGACGTGGAGAATAACTGAAACTAGCATACCGATATGCTCTGGATTTATCAAAGACGCGCGAATGTAAATTTGAAGTAAATTAAAATTATAATTCATCTCAAATCTTATATTGAGATAGTTATGTCAACTGATGAGCTCCTATAAAGTTCGTAATTATATCATCTTATTTATTATGTAAATATGACGTCCAATTTTGACAAAAAAAAATTGGAAAAAAGTTAAAAAGAAAATAAACGACGTTGCTTATTTCGACTCGATCTTTTAAATATTTATTTTTATTTTTCAACCGATTTACTCATTATGCATTCGCGCTCGCATTACACGTTTTACTACATAACGATATATTATTATTTTCATTATTATTAGCGCTGCGTTCTGCCGCAGCCGCAATATTTAAAGGTCGCGACGTGTGGCGACAACACGCGTACACGCGGCCGGTGGTGTCCCCGTGTTAACGCGTTGCGCGCGAATCGAATCAATCTCTCGAGAGAGAATGTATACACGCGTTCGCACGCTCGCATCCGGAATAACAAAAAAGTAATCATCGATGAACACCTACTCTCGCCTCTTGCTCTCCCGATAGATCGATCAATTTACGAAGCTATTACACTCGTTGGCGCGGGGGTGTCGCCCATCGAGTTTTTCGATCGCGCGTGCATGTATCATGCTGCTACACATCGATCCATCAATCATTCATAAAAAAAAAATAAAAAAATCGGCTTCGGGGAATGGAGGGTCAGAGCTCTGCACTCTGGCCGTCGAGGTTTTTTTCGTTGTACCTACGCATAAAGCAATCGAGTCAACGCGCGCAACGCACTACATGTGCACACGCACTCGTGTGTATTATATATCGCATCGACGTCGGGATTCGAGCGATCGGCCCAACGAAAACGATACATCGCGCGTATAAATACATTCACACATAATGTTGAAAATTCCACCCACGCGGACAAGTACGACGATAGCTAACTCATCTCGCGGAAGACGTCGACGACGAGCGACAGTATAGTGGCCGGTAGTACACGCAGACTATTAACTTCGCTCGCGAAGGGATCGATTAGGGAGCGCAGTAACAGCAGCAGCATAGGTTTACTCTGGCGACACAGCAGCCGTTAATGCGCAGGGCTCAAAATGACCAGAGAACCAGCTTCGTCGTCGTATACGTAAATGTGCGTGCGCGCTATATTATATATAGACGCAAGAGTATATAACGCGCGAGAGTAGCGGCACGATGACGACGTAAATGGATTTCCAGCTCGACTGCGCGCCCTCCCTCCAAAATACGAACGCGTCGAATATACGTACGGCTACATATACATTTAGGGTGCGAGAGCGAGAGGCAATTATTAATTGTCGTGTGCCGAAGAGAGTGAGAGAGAGAGAGAGTGGCCAGCTCCAATGGTCCGGCGCACGAGATGTGTATACACCTAACCAACCCCTCCTATTGCTCATCTACGACTATATACGTACGCACGCGTGTACTCGATATTGCCAATGGATATGTACGGCGCGTACACGCTTATAACTATAACGCATACGTCGGGCCGGCGAGCTTTCAGCTCTCCGAGCTTTCGGTAAAGGGGGTAAACGACCTCTGCGGGCTAAATGGAAAGCTGCTGCCATGCGTATGTATACATAGCGCATGCACGTGGCGGCTCGCGAGTGCTGCGTATGTATAGGTCGAAAGCGCGAGCTTTCGGTCACTGTTCGAGAATTCGAGTGACGAAAGACCGAGTGAACGGGGCATTTTTCAAGCTGTAATCGATACGTTCAACATATCGTGGATAATTTTTCACTAACGAGCTTTTCAACCATCAATTATCGTCGTCTCGAAACTTGCCAAATAAAATAGCAACGAGTGTGCGCGGACCCGTCAAAATTACAGCAATGAAACGCGCGTAACGATCGGATGCGCCTCGTACGTACCTCAACGATGCATATATACGCGTTATATATCTCAATGCGTAACTTTGACTCGTATACCGCTCCAATCTCAAAGGAATACAACTTACACGTGTATCACGCGTAGTGTTGTGCAGTAGTCCGCATGCTGCTGTATATGCGGTTGACAAACGAGCAAACGCCAATCGACTTGCACTCCGGTCTGGCTCTCCCATTCACCTCTTCTCCCTCGCACGTATACACACACGTACGTATACGTATATCTATCCATTCCGCGCAACGGAGTATAGTGTATAGGTGTACAGGAGATACACACTCACACACGTATACGCTACATCCCAGTTAGACGATCCTCGCGACTGTACTCCGGCACGAAACAGTTTGGTCATTCCAACAGCAGCAGCAGCAGCAGCAGCAGCAGGAGTATAAAGCATACTATACACATCTCCGCGTGTATGTATACAGTTAGAGTCTCTGCCGACTCGGGCACAGCGGGCAGCAACTTGGCTCGATCTGGCAAACATTCGGAGGTGGCAGTGCGTACCTATATGTATGTAGCCCTGTGCCGAACGCGCAAATACATTCGCACACGTATTATCCCTGACAATGAATCGTGCGCCCTACGCTCCGTACACGTGTATACAAATACACGAGTGTCTGTGTCTGTGTGTACGTGTATATATCGGCAGGCCGCTCGGTGGGCATTGGAATCCGTACACAGCCTCGAGTTTGCGAGTCACAGACTATATCCACGGCGCGAAAGAGCCAAACTCGATGTTATACAGTATACACATCGCGATTCGTATACCATCGGCAACGCGGCTCGTTCGGAGAGGGATAAAATCAATAATCGAGAGAGAGAGAGAGAGAGAGAGAGAGAGAGATCGCGTATTCGCCGCTCCGCGAGTTTAACGATTAATGACGTAAGCGCGCCAGCCAAGCGAGCCGCACGTTGTTGCCGGCGAGTTCAACAATCGGCCAGGAGCGCATTAGTCGCATTTTTTTTTGCCCCCCCAATCGTCGAGCGAGATTTTTCATCGATTTTCGACCAGCTAGTGAGTGCCAAGAGAGAGAGTCGTGATAATCACCCCAAAAATAAATACAAACATCGATAATTAAGTGCAGAGAGAGAGAGAGAAGAGTTTCACATCAGCGGTCAGCTTACGTACGTACTATACGCCACCGCTGTCTATAATTAAATTATCCGCGCGCGATACATCGGCACTTTATATAAAAAAAAAGTGCATTTAAAGAGCACCAACACACACACACACACCAGGCGGCTATTCCGAGGCTGTATACGATCGCGCGATACTCTCTCCCGATAGTCGAGTATGTAAGTACGCGACGAAAATAGCCCAACGCGGCCGCGCGCGCGTTGTTTTTGTTTCGCAAGCTCGGAAAAAAAAGCTGCGACGCGCATGCATCGCCTCTGCAGCTTCTATAATAAATTTCAAAAGACCGAGCGCCGTTAGAAAGAGTAAAGAGGGAGATGGATCTCTTTCTCGTTCGCTCTCTGCGTTTCGAGAGCTGAGAATTACAAAAGGGGGGTCGGAGAACGAATTTACGCGCGACGCGCCTTTTCCTTGCCTTTTCTTCTTCTTGGGTTCGTCTAGTCGTTCGGCTGGCTCTTTTTCCGTATATATATAAGTACAACTAGCGAGCTCGCAGACAAAAGCTCGTGTTCCCCCCTCGCGTGATACAACGCACTCGAACGCTATTGCGATATTTATCGTTTTAATTCTCTCTCGCCGTCTCTATATGTAGCCGACGTGCGTCTGTGCGGTACAAGCGAAGTCTCCTTTTAATTATGCGCAGCAGTCGGTGCAGTATACACGGTGCGTACATACGTATAACCAGATATAGCGGTGTATAGCAGGAGTACAACGCCGCATTCGTTATTGTCACTTTCGAATGAAGGATCCTTGAGTTATTATTGCTCCCCGATACGCGACAAGTCCTACGAGTCGATCGAATCGCAATGATACTTATATGAGCCGATCGTTTCGCGCCGGAGCATGCAGGAAAAATTTTACGAATTACTCGTGACGAAGCTGAATAACAATTTGAAATATTTTATTTTTCTTTACAAAATTGAAAGACATTCACGTGAGATATTTTTCAAAATTACAAAGCGCATTCATGTGAGTGTATAAATCTTCATTGGGTTCTGATGTCTTGGAACGAATTGCACGCTCTTCCTTTGTTAGGATCGTGCACTGCATTTATATGAGTTTTGAGGCTACGTTTGTATCCAAATGATTTTTGACAAATGTTACATTCAAAGGGTTTTATATGATCATGAACTACATTTCTGTGTTTATTTAGGTTACCACTTTGTCCAAATGATCTTTGACAAATCTCACATTCGAAGGACTTGACACGATTATGTACTGTATTTAAGTGAGAATTCAGATGATGTTTTAGTCCAAATGATTTGTGACAAATATCACATTCAAAGGCTTTATTATAATTATGTACTCCATTTGTATGTTTGTAGAGATGACCCTGTTGTCCGAATGATTTGTTACAAATCTCACACACGAATGGTTTGCTACCTTCATGTACTGCATTTATATGAACTTTGAGATAATCTTTTCGTCCAAATGATTTATGACAAATTTCACATTCGAAGGGTTTACTACGATTATGCACTGCATTTATGTGTTTCTTGAGGTCACCTTTTAGTCCAAATGATTTGTGACAAATATCGCATTCGAAAGATTTGATCCGACCATGTACTACATTTACGTGAGTTTGGAGGCTGCTTTTTGATCCAAATGGTTTCTGACAAATCTCACACTCGAAGGGTGTCTTACGATCATGTACTACATTAATATGAGTTTTAAGTCGGTCCTTGCGGCTAAATAATTTTTGACAAATCTCACATTCGAAGGGTTTGACACGATTATGTACTGTATTTAAATGAGTTTTCAAGTAACACTTTAGTCCAAATGATTTGCGACAAATTTCGCACTCAAAAGATTTGATCCGACCATGTACTGCATTTACGTGAGTTTGGAGGCTGCTTTTTAATCCAAATGGTTTCTGACAAATCTCACATTCAAAAGGTTTTCTACGATCATGTACTCCATTTATGTGTATTTTTAGTACATGTTGGTATCCAAATGATCTGTGACAAATTTCACACTCGAAGGGTTTGCTGCGATCGTGTACTACAGTTATGTGAACTTTAAGTTGGCCTTTGTGTAGAAATGATTTGTGGCAAATATCACATTCAAAGGGTTTGTTACGATCATGTATTGTGTTTATATGACGTTTTAATGCATGCTGGTATCCAAATGTTTTATGACAAACGTCACATTCATATGGTTTATTGCTTTTATGCGTGAGATTGATTTTTGTTGGACTCGCTTTTCCTTGATGAGATATTTGACACACATTGCGCCGACTAAATAACTTGGTTTCAGTTCTTTTTTCCGATATTTTGACCTTCCTGAATTCGTCAAGCTCATCACTCAAATAATCGGTTTGACTCTCGTTTTCTTTTTTCACAATAGGTTGATAACCCTGGTACTCAGTTTTGTAGATGGTTGACGACGGAGACGACAGTTCAAGTTTAACATCTTTGCACTCAAAATCCACGAATATTTTTTCATCTGACTTTTTCTGCAACGATATGACCTCATTCACGTGATTTGCATAAAATTGAAAGAATAGAAAATAATTAAAATCATTCAACTCACCGATGATTTATAAAACGTGATCGTTTCAAAGTTTTTGACGTCGCAGAAGTTCACTGAATCGAAAATACCTTCTACCACGTCTGGCAAAATATCGTTCGGTTCCTCTTTCACTCTTTAAGAATAATAGAATTTTATGAGTTGATTGCTTAAAAAAGATCATTGCGTAAAAAGAATTATCGTACCTCACTATGTCCTCCTTGTTTTCCATTACTCTTTTTGCAATATCACTATGACTTTTCACGAATTGCGCTGAGAAAATATTTGAGGTTAAACTCCTCGATTAGCCTACGGTATATCTCGATTTGGCCAATATGTAAACACTTGCTCACCGAGGAATTCAGATACTCGCTAGCGACTTTACGCACTGCTGGGATACTATTAGCGAGGAGACGCAACGATTATGGTAGTTCCTTGGCGATATTTTTCCCCCCTCTACCATCGTCTAGTCATACGCAGTTATGGTACCTGTAATACATTTGTAATGAAAGTGTCATTCATTCAGGCGCAAAATTCGCTTACAGAAACGTATGCGAAGGAACATAAAAAGAAAATATTTCTGAGCCCATATCGATACAGAACATGTTGGTATTATGCACGTGGTGTTATAAATCACACTCAATAAGTTACATAGCTATTGTTGGATGGTAAAATAAATACAGCAGTTGCATCGATGATTTAATAATTTTTTTCATATACTATAAAAGAAGTGAAGCTCACAATAATCGAAATAAAAGTATTGCGAGTCTTTGAATTTCTGATAACGCGATCGAGCACGTTCATATGGTTTGTGCACTCGCACCACTCTTATAGTAAAACAAAAAAGAGTCGCGCAAACGTATCGCGCATCAGCTCGTTGTTAAAGTGGCGCTTAAGCCGCAATGGACGCGCGCACTCCTATAAATAAGTCAGCGCTCTTCCAGAAACGCACTAGGCGCGCGCGCGACTCACGTGTTTTGGGATAGCGCGTGCGTGCTTGCATATACACGGGAGGGCGTTACGCGGCTGTTTTCGAGCGAATTTTACACAGATATACACCGAAACGCATGTAGTGCACGAGCGTTGTATTTATAGATGCTTTGAGTTCTTCGCGGCGATGTGTGTACACAGTTTTTAGGGCCGATTCTCCGAACTTTTAGGGACGCGCTTTTTCGGCACGCACGCGCGTACTACGTTTAAAACGCGGGCACAATAGCCCGAGTAATGTCATTTGCGAGATCCATCGCGCGACACGAAATAAAAACAAAACGAAACGAAAAAAAAGGGAGAACAAAAAGAGGCGCGTAACGCTGGGCCGGCTTGCACAAAACAAAACAAAAAAAAAGGGAAAAAATTTAATTAAAATCGTGTTTCGCTCTCTTTCTCCGTGCTCGCGCGCGCGCGTATGTGTACGGGTGCGTTGATGCGCGCCTCGGAATTCGTTAGAATTTACAGACTGAATTTAGAGTTATCGCGCGTGTTAAATTCCTCCGGCAGATTTACAAATGGGGACACGCTGTATGGGTGCAATTTTCGCGCGCCCATCCCTCCCGCGCGGCCGCCTCGTATGTGGTGCCCGCGTGCAGTTTCGTATGCGCTCGATAATATAGGCGCTTCGATTTTGTCATCGATCTGATTACGAACGCGAAGCGCGAATATATTTAAGATTGCGCTAATGATGTAAACGCAATCTCGTTGGAGGTGTCAGCGGTCTGGCTTTGAATTTAGCTGGACGGCAACGGTGTGCAGCTGCTCGAGCCGCTTCTCGCGTGATTCTAATTATCCGTTTATTACGTTGTTGTGTAAGTCGCGCGTACAATTATCCGTTGGAAAATCTTAAATCTCAATAAAATCCTAATCCTCTTCAAGTATATTTCATTTTCAGAGATGTCATTTTGTGCATCTATCACTATTTTCTATGTACCTTGCATGAATTCTCACAATACATTCTTTCATTTTGTACATTTTATTTTATTTCGTTGATTACCTGCAATGAGTATAAGGAGTACACGGACGTTAATGATTCAAGTAATTGGAGTCCATTATAAAACCGAGTCTTTAAATCTAAATGTCTCGATCACTTCGATCGCGTGTTTACATTTGAAGCCATCTAGCGTTCGTAGTGGAACTCACGAGTCACCCGCACTGTAATCGTGCAGTACGGGGGACTGAGAAAAGTAAAGGGGGGTCACCTGAATTCAAAATAGTAAACTCTGCTGGAATAAATGCGCAAAAACCGCGTCATACTCCCGCAAAAAAAAAAATAATAATAAAGCGCGATATCCGTGTGCGATGACGTACATACGAGTCTCCGTCTCTCTCTCTCTCTGCGAATACGGTTGAAAGGATCTGGACGCGTGCCTTTCTGCGAGAGCATGTGTGTGTGTGTGTTATACGTGAGTGCCGCGCAGCTATATCATACGCACGCATGTGCGAGGCGTGAAAAGCTCTCCTCGAGCTCGAGCTACGTACTAAACTATATCTACCATATAAGCCATATATGAGTGATTCTGACTAACTTTTAAAATAACGCCTAAAAAAATTTTTGATGAAAAATTTAGCGGCACAGTATCCGGAATGAATTTTTCTTGAATATTATCAACAAAGAATCCCAAAAATAACTTTGGGCTTTATTTTCCTCCATAGTCCATTTGGGAAACCCGATTTAAATGTGGGTCAAAATAAAACTTCTTCAAATTTTCGAATGACACCGATCTAGATGCGCTTTTGATATGTTATAGTACATGGTAAAAAAATCCTAAAGCCAAAATTTTACTCCCCATCCCCCCCTCCTACCCCCTCCACCCCTATAAACGTCCATTCTTTATTTATATTCATTCTGAAGCCCTGAAGTAATTAAAAAATCTGAAAAAATTCATAATAGTACATATCAACAAAACTAAGCACCTTGAATTTCTTCAGATTTTTCGAGGGCTTCAGGCCTTCAGATAAAATAATTAAAAATTTGGAAAATTTATATACGGCGATACGAGCCAATATCAAACTCGAAAATTTTTTTCTCTGTTTTATGCATTGAAAAACATGACCTTAAATTTCTTTGGATTTTTTCAAGTTTCCTTATGCACTTTTTGAAGCGAAAAAACCCCTTTTTCTTTCATGTGTTTTCATGTGACATTACTTATATCATCCCGCACATAATTATCTACGTAGGCGAATTGCGTAGTCATTATAAATGAATTAAATGTAAAATTTTTTTTTTACGGCCTTGCCCTTGATGATATAGCAAAATTTTTTAAATAAAAAAAGAAAGTGTGTGAAAAAAAATTATTTGTTGAATAATTTATTTATTCATGATAAGAAAAAAATTTTTCATGAAAAAAAATATATTTATAAAAATTTTTCATGAAAAAAAAAAATTGTTTATAAAAATTGTTTATAAATTTCCCATGAAAAAAATTTTTTTTATAAATTAATTAATTTATTCATAGTAGAAAAAAATTTCATGAAAAAAAAATTTTTTTCAAAAATTTTTAAGTGATTAACGCAGGATTATCGAATGTTCAATCCAGCGTACAATTCTTATTAAATAAGGGACAGAGTTCTGGTTGGGCTCATTTTGTTCGTCTTTTCCAGCCCTTTTTAAACATGTATACAGATATAAAAAAAAACAATAGTCCATTGTAAAAAATGAAAATGTATAAAAAAAGCTAAAAGTTCAAATAATCCAGTACGCGCGGAAAACATTCTGGGAAATTTCCAATTTAGGAGGATCAAGTTCAGGTCACAAATTTTTCTAAAGTATGTGAATAAAGGAAGGTAACATGATAATTTCAGATCATTTGGTTAATAGTCCATTTTTTAAGAAGCTATCGAAAATTTATTTTATTCGCAGTACGTTTTTTGACTCAAGAGTAAAATCGATTTTCAAACGTGCGATACAAAAAGGACGGGCCACCAAAACGCTCAAAAATAAAAGTGTAGATCTCTCAAGTCTTCTTAAAGACCCTGATAAAATTTCAGAACTGTGCATGGTAAATTACCTGACTTACACATCAGTACGTGCAATTTTAAAAGTTAGTCAGAAACACTCATATATGTAGGCAACAACTACGCTATACGCAACGCGGCGATCCTCGCGCGCGACTCATACACACAATGCTTCAACGGGTTTCCGACTGCAACTGCGCGCGGGCTGCGGTGCAACTTCCGGAAACATATAGACCGAGCTCGCGCGTGAATTACGCAGCCGAACGAGCAGGTATATATACCTATGCACTAGTGTGCAGCAGTATATGCAAAACGCATATGTATACGTGTATAACGGGGACCAGCAGCAGCAGCGCTAGAAACGCGCAACATATAGAGACGTGCGACATTTCGACTCGAGTGCGCCGCTGTATGGCTGCTGCTACTACTACTATTCGTACATACACTATGTGCATACCAGTGAATGTATGTGTGGGAGAGAGAGAAAAAGTGGAGTGTGCGAGAGACGAAACTCGCCAAAAGCTCTGTGTCTGCCTCGGGTATACGCGAGAATATTATTACACGAGCTTGCAGACGCACGCACGCACCGGCGAGTAGACGCACTAATGAAATTGAAATGCCCCAGTGTTCGCGCGAAAGAAAGGATTATGCGGCATCAATCTCGCCTCTGTGTGCAATTGCATACGTGTACTTATACGTATCGTGTGCGTGTGTGTATGTGTGCTCGCGTGCACATATAATAATTGTACGCAGTGAAAGAGTCGCGCAATACGTATAGGACATATTTATTAAAAAAAAGAAAGAGAGCCAAAAGAGTTGGAAAATCAATTGAAAACCGCAATCGATATCGTACATGAAAAAAAAAGGGATGAAGAGGGAGAGACAGGCATGGACGAACGAGAAAGCCGTAGTAACGAATTACATTTATATTTCGATCGGATGTACGCTCTTGATACGCGAGTGTGTGCGTATAATATCGTAACCGTCGCGACGACAATCAATGCGCTGCAACTTGAAATCTCTCGACTGCGCGACGGCGGCGCCACAAAAGTATCTGCATATGATTAAAGCAAAAACGCCAAGTGTGTATGTATCAGGGCGCTCCCCCAAACACGAGCTACACACTTTCACCGCTAATTAATTAAACGCGCCTCACCACAACTGCTGTTGCTGCTCTCAAAAATGAAAGAGATATTATACCCGGGGTATATAGGTGTATTTTCTCTTCTCTCCCCGCGTACAACACAACGTCGCGCAGCTGATGCTGCTCGGAAGGATACTTTCGGCAGTCTACTCTCTGCTCTCGTACACGTGCTAGCTATACATAAGCGCGGGGTCGAGGCTCGAGCTTTGTGTGTCGCTATTTGCCTCGCGGCAATAATACACGTATACGTATTGTATAAGCTGCTGCAGCAGCAGACTTTG